GCTGTTAACATGTGAGATTCATCTCTTTTGTTGACTGAGCTGTTTATCTGGTTTTTGCTGTCCGTCGTCCTGCATGGGCTGTGGAGCCGCAGTCTACCCCTATGGACATAAGAAACCTGCAGCAGCGCACGAGCAGCAAGCAGCAGGAGATCAGCACAAAAGAGAACAAAAAAATCTCTCGACCAGGCCTCGAGCTCCTGCTACAACAGGTCACAGTGCTATGCCCCAATACCGGCCACCATCGTTCTGGCATCGGCGAACCAAGGGCACAAAACACCATATCTTTGCAAGGCATCAGCCAAAATTCTACCATCCCTAATGTTGGGCCCAAAAACTAGTATGTTCATGTACACATCGGCCAGGCGGTAGACCTCGTCAAGGAATCGATAATCTTAAAAGGGAGAAAAAAAAATGAAGATGGCATTTTGAGCAAATGCAGGGCGGATGAGGGCCTATCAGCCATGGAACAGACATTTCGTTAAAATTGACATTTTTTATTATTTTCACGAAATTGATCTTCCAAAAAAACACAGCATTTCTTAACATTTTTTTGTGCTGACCGCATTAGACCATTGATGGTTCGACATCCCCAGGACGCTGGACCATCTGATCTGCCTTGATTTTTTTTCTTTCTTTTCTAACCCTCGGATGTATTTTGACGGTACTTTACGTCGAGATACATTAGATGGTCCGGAGTCCTCAGGACGCCAGACCATCAATGGTCCAATGTCGTAGGCACAAAAACATGCGAAAAAACACAATTTTTTTTTGGATGCCCAATTTCGTGAAAATAGTAAAAAATGTCAATTTTAACAAAATGCCAGTTATGGGGTCTATAATCATCCCCTTCGATTTCGACTTCAAAATTCTCACGTTAATACCCTAGGTGCTGAAAAACCAGCTCCTGGCGAGCACATAGCACAAGTCCATAGAACAACCTCTGCTCCCAGTCCTTTTGTTATATTTTTTTAAATTCTTTAGTAGATTGTAAATTCAATCTTTTACTTTAGAATAAAATTCAAAAAAATCGAGCAAAGTTGGGTGAGCTTGTTGTGTTCATATGTGTGTATGTGTGTGTGCGTGCGTGTATGCGTCTGTGTGTGTGTGCAGTTTTTTTTTTGTGTGTGTGTGTGTTTGTGTGTGTGTGTGTGTGTGTGTGTGTGTGTGCGCGGTTGTGTGTGTGTGTGTGTGAGAGAGAGAGAGAGAGACAGACAGACAGACAGAGAGACTGACAGAGACACAGACACACAGAGAGAGAGTGAGAGAGAGAGAGAGAGAGAGCTGGAAAGATACATCATAAGACTCTTAACTCCAATGCTAAAAAAAATTGGAAGAAAAAAAAAAATGATACTATTAAAATTCAGAACAGCAAATTAACTCGAGAAGTTTTGGGTTAGAAAATCAATGGTATGGCACTCTTGCCATTGACCGAGGTTATTAGCAAACCGAGTATATGTTGCAAGGACAATGATTGAGGCAACATCCAAAAATCGAAATTGCAATCACAAAAAGATAGCCAAAAACCTCAAAATTAACTTGTGAGAAGAATTCTACCCGAAATCACAAAAGCACAAGAATAAACAATTTTGGCAATATAGCCCTTCGCCATCATCCTAAAAAAGTCACAGTTCCAGTGGGTGTTCAACACTTAGTCTCTCCTAGATCATGTACGACTAGCTTATTTATGTTGTCGTCAGTCAGTGAGATAAGTTATGGAGTCGAAGTAGATGAAGAATGTCGCCGATAGCAAACCATCAGCACATATCCCGTTGACCCCCCCTCTCTCACTCTGTCAGCGCTCGTCTTCCCCCACATGCCGACCTAGTACCCAGAGTGCAGGCCCAGTTTCAAGCTGCTTCCAGAGCCTGGTACCGATATTTAGGTCATTCAACTCTGTGATGTGGGCAAGGTTTCATGCATTGTTTGCATGGCTTGGCGAGGCCTAACTCATGTCACACAGCATGAACCATTCACTTAGTCGCTTAGGGTGGCGCAGAGCCAATGTCCGGCACCTTATATTTCTGTCGAGTGTCTTACACCTCACAATATGTATCATTCATTTTTCGACCTCTCTCTCTCTCTCTCTCTCTCTCTCTCTCTCTCTCTCTCTCTNCTCTCTCTCTCTCTCTCTCTCTCTCTCTCTCTCTCTCTCTCTCTCTCTCTCTCTCTCTCTCTCTCTCTCTCTCCCTCTCTCTCTCTTTCTCTCTCAGTTCAATTTTATTTGCTTGTATTGCATAAGTCGATTCTTGATCTTATCAACATCTGTTGTCGTCTTCTTCTCGTGATCAATTTGGCAAATAATTGATAAGATGAAGTTGAAGCGTATTCTGTTCATATACCTGTAGCAAGACCAATTCAAAAGAAGTTAGAAACAAATAGTATAAACATCAACTTAACACACACTAATCCTAAAAGGAGTATTCATTCACTTGCCAAAATTGAATTATGACCCTTTATTGTGCATGCTATCAATAATAGGCAAGAGACTGGGCTACGGCGAAGACCGAACACCCACCGAAGACATCCTATCTAAAATTATAAATATATATATATATATGTGTGTGGAGGATGTTTGATTATATATGTATGTGTGTGTGTGTGTGTTGTAGATTGTCACCACAACAGCCCCTGTTCCACCCAGATGAGCAGATCTAAAATCTAAGCAGCTTTATTGTAGACAATGAAGCACAGTAAGGATGAGCGAATCCAACAATGAAATTGTTTTACCTCTACAACAAGCAACATGAACCTCAATAGATCCACTGTATTCCTTTTTTGACTATCTCTATATGTGTGCGTGTGTTGTCATGTTCGCTATAGATAATTTCCAAAAAAAAAAAAGAATGGTTGTGCCCTGACTGCTTCATCGAACTTTAACCGACTCGTCAGGAAGGTTGACAGTCTTCCCAGAATGCATTTGACTGATGGATAAGGACTCACCACGTGGCCCAGAGTTAGCGATACCCTGAGAAAAGTGGTCGACTCTAGTCACATCAACCCTGCAATTGTAGCGGACAGATGGTCCAAACCACTGACAAGAGTGGCAGTAAGTCTGAGAATCTAGTTTGTCACAGCCAACCTACTCTGCACACCAGGTCAACCATGGATACCCAGTATGTTTTGTTTTGTTTTGTTTTGTTTTTTTTTTTTTTTTTTTTTTTTTTTTTTTTTTTTTTTTTTTTTTTTTTTATGCGTGTGTGTGTGTGTGTTGGGGGGATTAAGACCGTTGTTGGAAGAAGGTGCGGCGCAGTAGTGGAAAATGACTCGCCGTGGTCAAACCCCACGGTGCATCAAAATCGCGCCGAGGGACGTCCACGGTCAAGGTCAGGCTGGACCCTAACGCATCGATTAGATTTCCCCTAGGTCGAGATCAAAGGAAAGACGACGCGGCGGTACGGTCCCCTGAAGACCTGAATCGTCCCCGTTGGACTCGACCGACGCAACCGCAATGGGCCAAATAGTGGGGTCCGGTCCAAACGGCACCTGAAACAGACCAAGGGTTAGTGAGATATTCAAGTTTGACCGGTTGGGACCGGACCGACTTGGCCGCATAATTTGGCCAGAAAAGAGACAGCCCTAAGAAGTCATATAGATGAACAGCCAGGCCCGAATAATTAAAGATAGGGTCCTGTGCTATTTTTAGCACGGGACTGACTGTTCGTCTCCCAAAGTCGGGCCTACACCAGTCCCGTTCTAAAATTAGCACAGTCCCACGCTATTTTTAGCGTGGGACTGACTGTTCCTCTACCGGGGATTGGGCCTGCGCCAATCCCGTTCTAAAATTAGCACAGTCCCACGTTATTTTTAGCGTGAGACTGGCTGTTCGTTTATCGGGGACTGGGTCTGCGCCAGTCCCGTTCTAAAATTAGCACAGCCCCACGCTATTTTTAGCGTGGGACTGACTGTTCTTCTACCTGGACTGGGCCTGCGCCAGTCCCGTTCTAAAATTAGCATAGCCCCACACTATTTTTAGCGTGGGACTGACTGTTCGTCTGCCGGGACTGACTGTTCATATCTCGAGGTCGGGACTGCTGCTATTTTTAGCGCAGGCCCTGTCTAGAGTTTGACCACAACCCCGACCATGGGACTACAAAACTCAGCCCCGATC